GTACCATATGATCCAGCAATCCCACTACTGGGCATATACCCAGAGAAAACCATAATTCAAAAAGACACATGCACCCCAATGTTCATTGCAGCACTATTTTCAATAGCCAGGTCATGGAAGCAACCTAAATGCCCATGGACAGACGAATGGATAAAGAAGATATGGTACATATATACAATGGAATATTACTCAGCCATAAAAAGGAATGAAAATGGGTCATTTGTAGAGACATGGATGGATCTAGAGACTGTCATACAAAGTGAAGGTAGTCAGAAAGAGAAAAACAAATATTGTATATCAACACATATATGTGGAACCTATAAAAACAGTACAGATGAACCGGTTTGCAGGGCAGAAATAGAGACACAGATGTAGAGAACAAACGTATGGACACCAAGAGGGGAAAGTGGCGGGGGGTGTGTGTGTGATGAATTGGGAGATTGGGATTGACATATATACACTAATATGTATAAAATGGATAACTAATAAGAACACGCTGTATAAAAATATAAATAAAATAAAATTCAAAAACAAACAAACAATATGCCACAGTTTACTTCTTCTAGAAAACAAATAAAACTGCCTATTCCATCTAGCTGGTAGGAATCATATATGGTGTAATTATTCACAGGCAACAGTTTTGATTAGACTCTGAGTGTAAGAAACAGAATTATAAACACCAATCTCTAAAAAAAAGAAAAAAACAGAGTCATTCCATTTTTAATCAAAGTGGGATGTTTATAAGTCTGAGATATGTATTCTTTCATTAAAGGATAATGAAAGGCTTTCTTTCCATTACAGAATATTGGGATATCTTACTTGTGTTATGACTAATTTAAGGGAATACTGATGTCTGATTCTCTTGATTTTCTTCAATTATCCTGTTATTATTACTCCACATAAAGAAGGATGTCAGTAGGAATAGGCAAAGCTAGTCTGGGCTCCTTACATACTTAGAAAGCCTGATTTCCTTAGTATTTCTCTTTTTTTCTTAACAGCTGACTCAACGGGTATAGACACAGACCTGCTACCAAAGCTGCCGGCCCTGGTAACACAGCTGGCTCCTGTCCATGGCCACCAATGCTGCTTCGTGCACCAGTGATGGGCAGAATTCTAAACCATCTTCTGCGTCTCTGAGTCCTCATTCCAGAGGCACAGTCCCAGCTTTGGCAGGCCTGAAGTCCTGTGCTCCTTCTAGCTGGCAGAACTCAGGGAAAACAAAAGTAGGCATTTCTATTTGGGAATCTAAGAGGAACAGGGCTGTCTCACCCACCCACCTTCAAAAATGATGGATTCCCCCAAATTCAGGAAAAGGATCCAGATGCTAGACAGCCCAAATTGTGACAAATGTCTACTACAGACATGATAAAATGTTAACAACTTTAATAGACACAGACTCCTGCCACCTGTCATGAGATGTGGGCTGTTATCAGAGGGAGAAAACCTGAAAGAAGATTATAGGGGAAACGATTTTCTACTCATGCCCTCGGGTTTCATGTCCATAAAATCCCCGAAGACTCTACCAGGCAAACCAGGCTTTGTCTTCTCCATTCAATGCCAGGACCTCAGGATAAAGCTACTAAAAGTGGTAGGGAATAGTCCTAGTGATGACAGTCATTCCCAGCACTGTCTAAAAGAACTTTCTGTGATGATGAAAATGTTCTATGTGTTGTCCGGTATGCAGCCTCTAGCCACATGTGGCCATTGAGCACTGAAATTGTTGCTAGTGTGAATGATAAACTCAATTTTTAATTTTCTTAATTTAAATTTAGATTTCAATAACCACATGTGACTACTGGCTATCACAGTGGACAGTGCAGGTCTACCCTTCCTGGTGGTGTTGAACCAACCCAGTGTATAAGAAAGGAGACTGAAGTCTTTTAGAAGGAAGTTGCTTCATTGCCCTCAGCAATCCAATCTAATATCGTAAAAAAATATGTGTGGGTATTTCGTTCCTGTAACTGTTTAAAACATTCTGGCTCTGTCTTGGCTGGATCATGGGTTCAGTTCTAACCTGATTTAAATAACCTCACAAAGTTCTAGAGCAACAATTCTAAATCCTGATTATGAGAACCCATATTTTTATTTCATTGAAGTACAGTTGATTTACAATGTTGTGTTAATTTCTGCTGTACAGCAAAGTGATTCAGTTACACATGTATATATTCTTTTTCATGTTCTTTTCCATTATGGTTTATCACAGGATATTGAATATAGTTCCCTGTGCTATACAGTAGGACCTTGTTGTTTATCCATCCTATATGTAATAGGTTGCATCTGCTAATCCCAATACTTCCTTCCCCCTCCCCTCCTTCCCCTTGGCAACCACAAGTCTGTTCTCTATGTCTGTCAGTCTGTTCCTCTATTGTAGATAGGTTCATTTATATTGTATTTTAGATTGTACATATAAATGATATAATATAGTATTTGTCTTTCTCTTTCTGACTTACATTGCTTGGTATGATAATCTCTAGGTCCATCCACATTGCTGCAAATGACACTATTTCATTCTTTTTTATGGCTGAGTAATATTCTATTGTATATATGTACCACATCTTCTTTACCCATTCATCTATCGATGGACATTTAGGTTGTCTTAGCTATTGTAAATAGTGCTGCTATGAACATAGGGGTGCATGTATCTTTTCAAATTATAGTCTTGTCTGGGTTTATGCCCAGCAGTGGGATTGCTGGATCATATGGCAACTCTATTTTTTGTCTTTTGGGGAACCTCCATACTGTTTTCCATAGTGGCTGTATCAACTTACATTTCCATCAACAGTGCAAGAGGGTTCCCTTTTTTCCACACCTTCTCCAGTATTTATTATTTGTAGACTTTTTAATGATGATCATTCTAACCTGTGTGAGGTGGTGAGGACTCATTTTTAAAGTCAAAATGAGTTATTAACTGTTTACAATAGTTGTGCTTTACCTCCTGTTAAGAAAATCTATTATAGTAAAGAGCTCCTCTTAATTCAATAGCACTTATATTCATGTATATTTCCTCATAACAGCAGCAACTATATAGGGTTTTCAAATAATCATACACATAAACACAGGATACATTATTTATTTAATATATGAGCAATCCTTGATATTATCATGGATTCTAGGACCTCTTACAATCTCCCACTGCCTCCTGGGCTCTGTGCACACAGGTTAGGAGCCCTCTTTTAAAGACCATGTTCCCAAGTATCCACCAGATATGTGATATATGTTGTACAGATGTAGGTCTTTGTTCACAAGAGGGAGTTTGGATTGGTATTAGAGAAATGAGAAAATGTAACTTTTCTAAAGCTTGGAAGTCAAATTTTTTCAATGTATATCTGGTAGCAGATGTACAATATAAATTATTTATGCTGCAGTGAAGCCCAATTATCATTCTAGCTGCGAAGATCAAGGTCTAACAATCTGGATTTCCTAAAAGTGTACTTTTATAACTCAACATTTATATAATGTTTATCAGTTCTCCGCCTGTGATTAACTCATGTTTCTCTGTGTCATCTTTGAAGCCAAAAATCTGAAGAAATAATTTCAGGAAAAAATAAAATAAAGCAAACATTTACTTAGTAACTCTGCAGTCACTTCATGTAAGTAATCTGCACAGAGCAGATTTCTGAAGTCCATTTGTGCAGCAAATTAGCTGCAATTTCTCCATTTAATATCTCTATTTACAAATACACCCCTGTAGTATTTATGTCCAAATGCTGAGTGTGCACTGGTGTTTCAATTTATCTTAAATGGGACAAATATTTCATCTCAGTTTCACCTCCTCTATTTCCAATTCAGAGATAAGAAAGCATGTTTGTTCTCCACCCCAGATTTCCAAAGATCTAGTCCATGTCATAATTCTCCCTTTTTGCTATCTAGAGGCAGGTGATGTTTTATAAGTGATATATGGGTAAGTAACTTTGGGAGCTCTGGCAGAGAGAACTGAGCCATCCCCTGGCTGGAGATGGCCATGAGCTGGACAAGGTCATTGATTGCTGGAGGTGAAAAGCCACTTTTATGAAGCTGACAGAAGAATGAAGACAGACCCCATCAGCTTCACAAATCTGTGATTATAAAATGGGGAAGAATGTTTCCACACCATAACTTCTCTGTCCAAAGATCTAAGAGCTAAACTCCTAAAATCTGAGAGGAGACTGGAGGGACACATTGAAGGATAGTGGTTCAAGGTGAAGTTTGACTGCTGGGATCTTGGAACATCCCAAAATCTCAGAGGTAACCCTGTGGTTTGGGGTGATGGTCACATCAGACCCACCACAGCACTTGTGTCTAGAGCTTTTCCAGCATCTATACAGACTTCTGGACACATCACTCTCATCAGAATCAAAGTCCCCAAGCATATCTTTCAGAACAGAAGAGCCAGCAGATGTTGGTCCATATGACAGAGTAAAAGTTACCAGGAAAACAAAGCAACTGCTAGGCTAGGAGCTCCATCCATGAAATTTAGTAACCTCTTGGAGACTCTGTATAGATTACCAAAAGCCTCCATAAACCTAGAGTGGCCACGACCTTGTTATAGCTGATAAAGTATCAAGCAAATCACAATCCATGCTCTGAGAAAGAAATCTCATAGAAAAAATGGAAGATGTGACAACTTTGGCCACAGACCATTGTATATTTCCAAACTCTCTGGGCTTCCCAGAATGATGTCACCCACTGAAAAAATAGGAACATATTTCATCCACATAGGTTGAAATTGTCTATTTCAATAAAAAATGTGCCTAGTGAGAGACATTCACTTATTACACACCACATGCATTGACTACTGTAGATAACAGCTATTCACTCAAAATAGTCATTCTTTAAAAAGCCTGGGAAACTCAATATTGAATTTAGAAAGCTGAATCTGAGGTTTTAATTCAACTTACAATGGCATGCATTAGCTGCCTAAAATTGGCTTCTCAATTAAATAGCTTGGGTTGTAACTTATTCAAGATAACAAATTTTTTTAAAAGTCATAATAAGTTAATTTTAAAAGCACAGACACCTACCCTTTTAAGAAAGATCATGTTTCAGGATTCCATAGCGTAGAGAAACCATCTTTTCCTGTGGGGAGAAAAGAAGAAAGACTATCCACTAATAACAGAAAGTAGCAAAGGTGAACTTTTAAGACCTGCTATAATTTCCTCATGTTACGGTTTCAGTTACAACATTCACAACTGCAATCTATCATCTTAGACTTAAAATATTTCTTAATTTCTACCTAAATGAAATATGTTAAAGACTTTGATTCCAAAGACTTGATTTCTGGGAATTCCTGGTTGTCCAGTGGTTAAGATTCCACACTTGCACTGCCTTGGGCCAGGGTTCAATCCCTGGTGGGGGAACTAAGATTCTGCAAGGCACGCAAAAAAAAAAAAAAGACGATTTCTTAGGAGCAAATGGTAAAAATAAATGGGAATTTTTCAAAATTAGAATTTGAATATTCACTTCACATATATCCCAATGTCATATCCTCAAACAGTTTAATTTCACGAAGTAAATGTATAAATAAAGAAGTAAATGTATAAAATTCCACTCCTGTTTCAATACTCCCAGTGGGAAATGATATGAGGAGATTGTAATAGCCTGTGCAGGTAACGTAATGTAACAGAATCATAAGCTACTATCTCCTTCTGTTAAAGCATTTTTTATTGTCCAGACCAATAAGCCATTTAAGGGCTCTGTTTTTCTTAGCTTAGACTTTTGAATTAAGAAAAACAGGAAAGGAAAGTAAAAAAGAAAAAAAGGGAAGCAAATCAAAATAGGATTCCTCAACCTAAAATATGACACAAATGAACTTTTATGAAACAGAAACAGACTCACAGTCATACAGAACAGAGTTGTGGTTGCCAAGGGGGAGGGTAGGATGGGGGGTGGATTGGGAGTTTGGGATTAGCAGATGCAAACTATTATATATACAATGGGTAAACAACAAGGTCCTACTGTATAGCACAGGGAACTAAATTCAGTATCCTGTGGTAAACCATAATGGAAAAGAATATGAAAAAGAATGTATATATATATATATGTGTGTGTGTGTGTGTGTGTGCGTGTGTGTGTGTGTGTATAACTAAATCACTTTGCTGTATAGTAGAAATTAACACAACATTGTACATCAACTATACTTCAATAAATTTTTTAAAAGGATGCCTCTAATTTTATTTTACATTTACTATTTACAATAAATAGTTGACATAAAAATCTATTAGTCACTAATAAATACTAACTTTTCTATTCAAAATTACTTTTTGTTGTACATTAAGTTATTCTAATATTTTGACCTTATACACTCAAGCCCAAATTAGAAAGGGAATGGTTTAATTTAATGCAAGTTAATCATCTACTACTATTAACGATTTCCACCAAATCTAAGTAAAACAGCTAATGGAATAATGTTCACAAGAATGTAACTCTGACTCTGACCCTGATGCGTTAGGTTCCATGTGAAAACTAGATTAACTTCCAGTGGGGGATGTGTAGATTCAGAAACAATGACCACGATTTCCGAACCAAAAGAGCTTCAACGATTTGAAATGACCACCAAGGCATAAATTCAAGGCAATCACAGCCCAGAGGACTCATACACACACACACACACACACACACACACACACACACACACACACACGTTCTCTCTCTCACACTCTCACACACACACACATTCTCTCTCTCTCTCTCTCTCACACACACACACACACACACACACACACACACACACAGAGAAACATTCAATGGGGACTCCTAGATTAGCCTGTGCTTTTTTAGGCTGCCCTTTCTTTTCAGACAATCAAAATCCTTTCTAAACTTTAAATAAGAAATTCTCCCAACGTCTTACCTTAAGGAGCATGAAACCTGCAACCACACCCACGCCTGCAAAGAGCCAAGGCTGAATACGACCCTTTTGGCTACATTTAGCTCCAGAACCTCTTTGCTTTAAAGCAACACCAATTCCCCACATGGAATCCCTAGATTAAACGAGCATCTGGGACCTCTTCTCTCCTGCTTCCTTAACTTAGACATCAGCCAGCATTACTCTCTCACTGCCAGTGTAGTACTAAGTGTCACAGCTGCCCATTCTAGTTTCTGAAATCGCAGTTGCAGGTAAGTCCTGCTAACAAAAGAAAGCCAAGACAGATTGATGACTAATCTAGAAACATGGGTCAACATGCACACACTGAGCCAAACCCTAATCTCTGGCTTAGTAATTACTGGGATGGGGCTCCTTGCAGATCTTTAATTCATAACTGGCTGTCCAGAAAAAAATATGATATCTAGGATTTGTCTCCAAACAATCCAGTTGGGGTCGTAGATGGCAAGTGAGAGATGAAACAAAAGCAACCATGAGTTTTCTGTAGTTTAACCATGAACACATGAAGGTTCATTATAATATCTGCTCTACTTTTAAATTTAAAATTTTCCATGACGAAGAGTTAAAATGAATGATCACCCGACGAAACTCATGTGTGAAAATATAAGAGAGGAATACACAGACCATAAATACCATAACCTTGTTTTCCAAACACCCTTCACCAAAAATGGAAAATCTAGGGAAATAAGCAAAAAAAAAATTAATTGAATATCACACTAGGAAAAATGAACAGCCTGTAGTTATGGTTTTATAAATGAAGTAATAATGGCCTTAAAGCTTCCTTTCAATATTTCAAAAGCCAAATTAGAGGTATGTATTTAACTATAATAAAGCTTCTTTTTTTTTATTTTAAATATCTCTGATTTGAAATAAGTGATATCAACATAGAAACACTGGTTATCTCATGCTTGTCAGAAATTGTTGGTAGTTAATATGACTTTGATTAATATAAGTGGGAAAATGGATGACCTACAACTAATATCAACATGATCTGTGTCATGGACAAATATCCTATTAAACAAGAGATCTGAGAGGACACCATTTAAAAAAAAAAAAATAGCGTCCTTTATTGGTGCAAACTTTGGGACCACAGATATAAACCATCATATCTCCAAACCACTTATGCTACCTGAGAGATCTGTCACTGGGAATCAGACAAAATATGGGCACTTTATATATGAAAACCACTAATTTGGCCAGAATTTGGAAGAAACTAGAAGGGGTCATACAAGGCCAGAATCCAGCTTCCACAATAAACGGGGAAAGTCACATACCAAGTAAGATCATCCTCACAGCCTTGGAATTTGACTGACTGACCCTGCCAGTCACCACTACTGGAAATCTAATTCTGAACATAAGTTAAAAAGCAGATTTATGTCATGGTTTGGGGAAAGACCATGTGTCGAGATGTGCCACGCCTGCTTCAAAGATGAGCCAGGACAAGAACAAACTTTGGTTCCCTCTGACCAGAGTATGCACAAGACCCAACACTGAAAATCCTAACAAGGGATTTGATGGTTTGAAAAAAAAAAGAAAAAAAAAAGTAGTTGACGGTTTTCTGTTTTCTTTTTCAAGTTTTCCAGGCCTAAAACAACATATTTCCTTTCCAGTAAAGAAACAATGCCAAATTCTGAAAAGGAAATTCGTCTGACTTAATGGATAAGCACATAAAAGCTGGAAAAGGGAGTATTAGGGGAAAACCAGTATAACTTGGCCTTAGGAGGCAGGCCTCCAAATTTATTGGTAAAAAAGGACTGAGGGTCAGAGAAGGGAGTGTGGGGGTAATAATTACGAATGAGTTGCACGATGAAGGTCAGCTAAACAAAACTGAGTTTTTGTCAATTTGAAAATCACGGTTCCAGCAATTTACTACATGAGCTAAGAGAAACTTCCATTAGCTTACACCCATACTCACATATTTTTCATTCAAGCAGCCATAATTCGAGGCCGAGTTTTATTAAATTGGGAATAGTATAATACAAAGTCCTATGCATTTAATAAATATTTGTCAGATAAAAGAATGAATGAGGTGGTTACTTATACCACATCATGAAATCTAAATCAAAGGTCATTAGAAATGACAAAAATAAAATCCCCAGGTATGGTGGTCATGGCTATTTGTCTAACTAACATTCATAACCTTAATTTTCTTCTGGGGGGTGAGGCAATGTGTCAGGCTAAAATGGTCTGTTCCCCAGACACCCTTAGGAAAATGAAGCGGAAGCCATGTGACGCAGTTTTGACCAATAAGATGCAAGAAAGAAGGCTCTGAGAAAGTCTGCAATCAAGATATGAAGACAACCCCTTCCCACTTTCTTGGGAATAGCTTCTGGACAGTGCAGAGCCACCTCATCACCATGAGGACAAAAGCCAGATGATAAAGAGTGAAAACAGAAAGAGTCTGGTTCTCAGTGGCATTGCTGAGATGCTGCCCCTACCAAAATGTCTGGATTCCTAACCTCGCACTTCATGTTAGGTGTGACTTCTTTGAGTTTAAGCTGCTGTCTTCTATAATTCACAGGCAGAAATATTCTAACAAACACCAGATATAATTTATCTTTCCCCCTGTGTTCTCAGAAGCTGCTTCTACTTCCAGTGACTGTGATGCTCCATATAACTGTCCAGTAACAGGGTTATGTAATCATCGCTTACCTCATCAACAGTTCCCACTTGTCAAGAGGATCCCTCACACTAAAATGCCAACAAGATTAAGGGCAGGCAGCCATCAGGAAAAGAGAGTAGTACTATTCCAATGATCAAGAAATGGAGGATCTTCTAACTTAAGACAGTCTTCAAAACATGTGTGTCTCAACAAAGAAGGAAAGGGAATATTTAGAGGTCTGGCTAAACTAAACATCAGAAATGAAACATCTCTGAGAAACAGAAAACAAGAATAGGAAGGAGGGCACCTCTTGAGGGCTTGAAGGGTATCCTGGTTCAGAGGCCCCTACTCCGTGCTTCTACGGGGCCTCAGCAATGTACCTCCTGTGGAACGTAAAATTCTACAGTCACTTCTCTCTTAATTGTTGATGTCTCTTGATGGAACATAAACTCCTAGGGTTCAGGAAAGTTGGTGTGTAACAAGTACTGACAACCGCTGAACGAAGAAATGAGCAAAGCAACGTACAGATTCCTTTTCCAAGAGATTTTATGAAAAGCATGCAATCCCCCAAAAATAAAATCGTATCTGGGATCATGATTTTTCTAGAAATATAATGAGGTGTATGAACTGTTCAAGTGACCCAACATAACATATTTAATTCAAATGTCTACGAGAAGAAAAGAAAAGAAAAGGGGAAAGAACTACACTTAGGAAGAAACTATTTTAAGCCAGGTGATGTGTTAGGGGCTTTACACCCAGTATTTCATTAATCTCCACAACACACCCCCGCATCCCAGTTAGTCACTAGGGTCTCCCCTTTCAGACCAGGACAAGTTCAGAGGGAGCTACGGAGCTAAACCAGGGTCACATACCCACTAAAAGGCAGACCTGATATTCAGACCCAGGAATGTCAGCTCTCACTTTTCTGCTTTATCATGCTGCTTCCTCACTTTGGTCTTTACTAAAATACTGTTTATAAATTGCATACGTTAGCTGATATAACATTCACGAGAACCTTCAGTTTATGGCCTCAAAACCATATATACAGGGTGAGGGTCCATTGTAACCTCCAGAACAATTACTTTTTGCCCATGTCACTAATCAGACATGCTTTGGCATGACACAGACACTAACCTCTAGCTCATTTGACAGCTGTAAGGAATTACAAAGGAGCTACATACCTACAGCATGTCCCCCCCCCCGAAAAAAAAAGTCACTATGTACTTATATGACCTAGAAATGATGCAAAATAAACCTATGTGCCAAGGGTTTCAGTTTCTCTTAGAAATCAACAGCCCTCCCTGCCCCACCCACGTATAGTAAACACACGCACGACAGCTTGCATGTAT